TGAAGGTTAACTCTTACAATATTGCAAATGCCCTTAGGCAGGGCCAACACCCATGCTGGTAGAAAAAGTAAAGAAGGGCTGAGGTTCTGTCTCAGTGGTAGAGTGCTCACCTAACATGTGTGAAGCACTGGGTTCAATGCTCAGCACCACATAAAACATAAACAAAATAAAGGTATTGTGTCCATCTACAACTAAAACATACATGAAAAAGCAAAATTAAAATGTTTGATGTCCTTCATTCTTTTTTCAACCACAAAGCTAACTTGAATGTTATAGTTATCACTTAAAACACAGAAATGTGACACCAAATTTAAAAATGCCTTACTCTTCACACATTCACCATGTGAGAAAAATTGATACCTCACATGACAATGTAATTAGAAGCCTAGTGAACTTTGATTTCACTTATTTACTGGCATTTGAAAAAGGACCACATTCACCTTTGATGATAGCAAAAATAATGTGATGTTGAGCTTTTTAATAATTATTAAACCATACACAAATCATACATAATTCTTTTTTTAAATTTTTTTTGTTTTAGGTAGACACAATATCTTTATTTTATATTTATGTGGTACTGAGGATTGAACCCAGTGCCTCATGCACGCTAGGCGAGTGCTCTACCACTGAGCCACAACCCCAGCCCATCAAATCATACATAATTCTTCCCTTGGAATTTTGGGTTTATATTTTAAACCCAATGAAGAAAATTTTTATGTAAGGTATAAGTATATACCAGCCTTATCTTTTATACATTGCCTAAGGAGAGAGGTTTTCAAAGAAAAGTCTATGTCAAAGGTGTCTTTCCATCAACTAAAGCTATGAAGCATTCCGTTGCCAGTGTGTAGATTCCAGCCTGATAATATTAAACTTTGTTTTCTGTATATGTAAGACAATACACTAACACTCTTTATTTTTCAGATGTATTCTATAGATTGCACATAGTTCCCAAAACAGAAAAATTAGAAAAATAGTTTTGATAGAAAACTTTATATCAATTTTAAATCATTTCAGTTTTGAAGCATGAAATTACTGATTTGTTATAAGTCAACAGTATACCTAAAGAGTTAAGCGTGGTAGCACACACCTATAATCCCAGCTACCCAAGTGGCTGAGACAGGAAGATCACAAGCTGGCCTGGGCAATTTAGCCAGACCTCTTTCAAAATAAAATAAAAATGGCACTGAGAACAAGGTCCTGGGTTCAATCCCTAGTACCACAAAAAAGAAAGTATGTTTAAAAATAGCTAAAATGATAAATTTTATGTTACATTTTACTACAATAAAAAAAAGATCTATAAATTCAGAGATGGCTGGGTGAAGGAAATAGAAATGAAAGGTGGAGTGGAAGCTGCAGGATAAGAGGTGATACATGTACTTATGAATTTACTCAAAACCACAGAATTATACATTTAAATAGGTGAACTGTCTGTATGAGAAGCATATCAAAAAACCCGTTAAAGAGTGCAAAAATAAACCAGACATTCTGGTGCATAAATGTAATCCAGCTTCTCAAGAAACTGAGTCAGGAGAATAACAAGTTCATAGCCAGTCCAGCTGGCTGGGCTGGAGATGTGGCTCAATGGTAGAGCATTTATCCAGCATGCACAAGGCCCTAGGGTCAATCTCCCGTACCAGAAGGAAAAAAAAAAAAAAAAATGGGTAGGGGTGGGAGGTGTACATATCACCAACATCTTAAAGAAACATCAAAAGAATAACAGGCAAACACCATGAACAACTCTACACATCTACACATAAACCTGGTAACTTCTATCAAATGGAACCATTCCTCAAAAAAAACCACAAACTATCACAACTCTCCTACTATGGAGTAAAAAGTGAGAACAGCCCAATAACTATAAAGAAACTGAATTCATAAATTGAAAACATCCAAAAAAAGAAATTTCCAATGCTCAGATAGTTCTGCTGGTAAATCCACCAAACATTTAAAAAGAATTAAAACAATATCTTGCCGAAAGAAGAAGAGTTGAGAACACTTCCCAACTCAGAAGACCAGGAAAATGGTAAAATCTAATCATCACTGCCACTATTGACAAAGACACATCTGAGAAGATAAGTCATAGAATAGAGTGGAATCTCTGCTATGCACTATATGAGTGTGGCAGGAGTTACCTAATTCTGCACTAACAGCAGCTGGAATAAAGAATGACTTCAGAAGTGCAATGGCTTTAAGAAACAGCTAGAGCACACCTATAAATCCAGCAGCTTGGGAGGCTGAGGCAGGAGGATCATGAGTTGAAAGCTAGTCTCAGCAAAAGCAAGGCGCTAAGCAACTCAATCAGACCCTGACTCTAAATAAAAAACAAAACAGGGCTGGGGATGTGGCTCAGTGGTTGAGTGCCCCTGAGTTCAATCCCCGATACCAAAAAAAAAAAAAAAGAAAAGAAAAGAAAACACCAGCTACAAGGGTCCCAAGTAACTGCCACTGGGGTTAAAAAAAATAGGGTGAGGGCAACTGAGTAAATGGAGCAATTATAATGTTTTATTATAAGCCTTTTAGCACCACTTTATTTTTAAACTATACGTGTATCATGATAAAATAAAACCATATGCATATCATGATAAAATAAAACCAACCCAATTTCAAAAAATAACACAGAAGCATAATTTCTGGTCCAGACAAAATGGCATTTCTCCCTGACACTCCCCAATAAGTCCAACTGTAAATAAATAAACTGGAACAAAGCAAGACACAAATGAGAGTTCTGAAAAGTGCCATGACCACAGCAGTGAGAGGAAGGCAGGCTGGCTGGAGACCTGGGCTGAAGCAACAGCGTCCTGTCTCTCATGTGTTCTCCCCGCAACAGAATAAAGCACCACAGGCCCAGTGTCCCCTAACTTCAACCATGCTAGAGAAGGGAGCCAAGAAAGCTCGTTCCCCACACCCCAATAGAACAGGACCACAGTATCATGAGAGTACAGCATCACCAGCTAGAAACTGGTAAGCAGCCAAGGAATGTCATATGGGGGAGCCTGAGGCTGCTCTCTCCCACCAGGGATGCTGAGGGATGTAGGCACCAGCAAGGGAACCATGCCACAACAACCAGCTAGTCCTGGAAATCTCTGTGTCCTGAAACCCTGAGATTCCTCTCTCCCACCAGTGAGACAGCCAAGTAGCACTGACAAGTGCTACCCATCAACCAAGAAGCCCAGTCCAAGAAGCCTCTTTTACAGCACCTCCCTCCCCCACGCCTTGCCCTACTCCAAGACTCCAGGGCAGGCAGGGAGCACCACCAAGCAGGATTCTGCCATGGAAAGCCTCTGCAATAGGGGTGCTCAGACTCCTGCCTCCTACTCAGAGACACCAGTACAGCCAGGTGGCACATGTGGAGGGGACACAACCACATCCAGTGCCTCACCATGGAGCCCGACACTCTCAACTCTTACCAAGAGACACTAGGCCTGGGGAAATCACTCTTCCCCATCATGCAACACAAGAGAGACCAATGACACCACCTAAACTGAAGCAGTCCAAAATGCACCACACACTGTCATTAGAACTACAAACCACAAATGTAAGCCAAGACCCATATGCTAAGTCTAAACAGGTGGCCAAATGCTAACCCTGAATGGAAGAATAGGTAAAATGGTGATAAAAACACATCATAGCAGTAAGTTGAATGCATACGGTGATAGCCAGAGCAAACACCTGAAAACCATACAAAGATCTACACTCAAAACACTGTACATATACCAAAAATTGTTCAAGTAACCCAAAAGAAGATAGGAAAGAGAAACACAAGGAAATGAGAAATCAGAAGAAACAGAAAAATGCCACACTTAGTCCTAATGTATCAATAATTACTTTATGGATAAAAACCATGACCCAACAAGAAACTTCACCTCAAGCTGAACAAAGTGTGTAGACTGAAAGCTGGCACTATGCAAACATTAATTCAAAAGTGCATGAGTACTACTCTAATACCTAGTAGATTTAAGAGCGAAAGAAAATTATGAAAGGAATGGTACATAACAATAAAAAAGGTCAACACATACACAAGACACGAAATTTTGGATGTGTATGCACCAAATGACATAAAATGAAAACTGATAGACTCAAGATGTGATGAAAACCTTGTTTTGAAAGCTGGCATACTTCCAAATATTTATATCCTAAAATTAAATGCTTAGACAATTACCAATGCAATCACTCTTAAAGCTAAGAGTGGGAAAGAAGAAATGACAGCTCTGGAGAACCCACTTCCAGGAAAGCACCTTGAAAAAGGACAGCTTTTATTGGTTCTCCTGTAAAACTCAACATCCTCCGTGAGAAAAATATTATCCATCGTTTTACAAACGAGGGAAGTTTAAGGTGCCTAAGATGAAATGACTAGTGAATAAACAGACCAGGGGCGAATTCAGCTCTCCCATTACATAACATGAACTCTTCTGATTGCATGTTAGTCTCAGTCAAAAAAGAACTGCAAAGCTGAAATTCTGAAGAAAAATGGCTAAGATATGATATGGGGTAAAATCCGTATTTTTTTCCTCCGCGCATCATGGGTTATTTCTTCAATACCTCTGCAATAAAGAAAATAAAATTTTGATAGCTGGAAGAGGTAACACTTGGGAGTTTATTTTGTAAAACTGCAGTCTTTACGCCTCTTCCTTTACAACAGCTCACTTCCGTGGCGCGAGAAGGGAGCGATCCTGAGCGGCGTGGAGGCAGCCCCGCGAGGAGCCTGCGAAGAGCCCGGCTCGCCCCTCGGTCACACACGTCCTCCGGGCCGCGCAGCGGCGGCCCCGTCAGCTACTTAACCGTTCCGCGCCTCCACTTCCCTTCCGCGCTCCCGACGGCCACGCTCGGCGCCAGCGAGCGCTCCGCGGGCCCCTCGCGCCCAGCGCAGAAGGAGCAGCGGCCTCTGCGACTCTCAACTAAGTTTCGGGCTCGCCGGGAGGGCGGCCGCTCGCCGCCGCGGAGGCGCCGGGCCCGAAGCCGGCCCCGCCAGTGCGGCGCGGAGGGTCGGGCCGCGCAGTTACCTGCCGCGCCGATCGGCCCCCGGCCCGGGCCCCGCGGCGCTGTAGTAGGCCGCGCGCTTGTGGCCGGCCGCCGCTGCGCTGCGCACCGGATACAGAGGGATCTGGTCCGCCATGTTTCCACCAGCCCGCCCCGTTCTCCGCGGCGACTTGGCGACTCTTTCCCCGCCCTCGTCCCTCAGCCCCAGCCCTGTCCGAGGCGGCTCAGTGCGCCTCCCGGCCCCGCCGCGGTCGCCGCCCGATGGCGTCATTGAGCGGCGGGGCGTGGCCGTGTGAGGCTCCGCCCCCGTCGCGCGCCGGGCCTGGACGCTGCCAGGCGTTGGAGCCGCGTCGCGGAGGCGTGGCGTCCCTGGCCGTGCGCAGCTGCGCGTGCTTGCTGGCTGTCTTCCGGGAGCGAGCGGGCGCTCTCCCCGGTCTCGCGCAGAAGCCCAACCTGTGTGGGAGGCGTGTACACCGGTGTCCGGGAAGCCCGGCTGCAGGGGCGGGGTCCCCGCCGCTCGCGAGAATCACGCGGAGGCTACCTGCCGGGCAGGCCCAGCCCGGTACCCGGCTCCTGCGCCGGGCTCGGCCAGCGTTGAGACTGCAGGGCGCGGCTGGCCTGGCCTCCCGGGGCCTCCCCAGCCCCTGCCTCCAGCGCCCCGCGCCCCCTTCTGCTCGGGTGTTCGGTCTTCTCCCCTGGTTCCCCCGTTCTTTGAGTTCCTTTCATCTTTGATTCCCACTTCATTCAGTTCTCAGGCTTTTCTCCATGCAAACTTATTTAGTTCTCTCCTACCGTTAAGAAAAAAATTTGGCTAGATTTTATCACCTTAAATTACTTTCCATGAAGGAACAGTTAATTCTTCAAAGAGTCAAGAGCTTTGCCGTTTTCTTGTTAGTTTTTATTTAAACACGTTATTAATTTCTAACTTAAAATTTGGGTCTGATTTGTTTTCCTGTTTTGAAGTTGAGGTTTACTTCTTGACCTAGCGTATGGTCTTATTTTTAAGCTATCTGTGTTTAGTGAATGGGCTTTATATTCCAAAATCAAGAACAGTAGGACCTGTAGGTGTTCGTGAACCCTCTCCCACTCCAGCAAGCCATTGTCTTTAGTGTTCCAGGGGAGCTTGAAGAGAGGTGCCCTCTGAGACCCTGCAACCCATGGCAGTCACTTCTCACAAGGACACTGTGCTGGGGTTTTCTAAAGAGAACCAGACCACGAGCTACCTGCTAGAGACCTAGGAAAGCCAGGGGTATAGATTCCAGCAGGCCAAGAACCAGGAGCTCCAAAGGCAAGAAATATCAGTTTGCAGCTCAGACAGGCACAGCTGATTCAACCTTCCTGGGCTGTCAGTGCACGGGATGATTCCCACCCACATGGAGAGAGGGCGGTCTGCTCTACTTAGCCCCAGGACTCAAATGCTGATCTCTTCCAGAAGTGCATACAAATGGAGAAGTAATGTTTACTGGCTATTTGGGTATCCCATGGCCTAGTCTATCCATTGCTCTGAACATTCCAGACTGCTCATTTGCCCTTTTCAACCAAGAACTGAATATACTTGAAGACCCATTAGAACATCTCACATACTTCCAAAACTCCCATCTTAGTGGAAGTTTTAGTACGTCCTTACTTTATGAAACTTTCCATCCACTTGAACTCCTGCTAAAACAGTTGACGGCAGGAAGGTTCCCTTGTTCCAGGTTTACAAATAAATATCCTTTCTGAATATTGTCCCCATTTGCCTTTGTGAGAGAGAATTGTTCTTTGATCCATTATGCTGTTCTTCCTTGTCACCTTGTTTTAGCTTTTTTGCTGCTGTGACTAAAAGATCTGACCAGAACAATTTTAGGGAAGAAAAGTTTAAAAGCTCACAGTTTCAGAGGTCTTAGTCCATAGAAGGCTGGCTCCATTCCTTGGGGATCAAGGTGAGGCAGAACATGGTAGAAGAGTGTGACAGCGGGAAGCAGCTCATATAATGATCAGAAACAGGAAAAGAGACTTCCATCTCCAGATACAAAATAAATACCCCACAGCCACATCCCCAATGAAGCACTTCCTCCAACCACACCTCACCTACCCCATTACCACTCAGGTTAATCCCATCAGGGATCCATTCACTGATTAGATTAAGGCTGTGATTCAATCATTTCTCCAAACCTTGCATTGTCTCACAGTGAGCTTTTGAGGGACACCACATCTAAACCATAACACCCCTCCTCACAGCTCCCTGTTTGGTAGTGTCGCTGTTATTTGTATTTTCAGTTCTGAACTCAGTCCTATTGAAATCAGAGTTTGAAATGAAATTAGATTTTCTGTTTCTGCTTGTGGGTGGGGTCTGCGTATGCTATAGGCTTCTGCAGCCCAGAAAGCCCATTTTATTGTGAGCAGCTAATCACAACAGGGGATGCCTGCCAGCATCAGCTCTGAAAGTTGCAGGCAGCAAAGCCAGATTCTTCCCCACAACTATCAAGTGGCATGTTGCAGCTCTTAATGGTGGGTTATGCCCTCCAGTGCCACAGCAGACCCTAGCTGCTCACCGCCAATTTCTTTCTGGGTTCTGGTGCAAATTTGAAGAATGAACTCCACGGATAATAACAGAAGGCAGGAGTGAAAGGTGTACAATTTAAGAAGATAACTCCCACAGGGCAAAGGATCCCAATAGCAGGTTGCCACATGGTATAGTAGTCTAGGGGTTTACATAACTCTTGGGTCAAGGCTATTGGTCAAGACTATTATGCTAACCATGTCTTGGAAAAGTACTAATACTATTATTTATACCTTGAGTCTGAACTTTCCTGTAAGCTGCATTTGTGTCTGACCCCACTTTCTGTTTTCCTCTGGGGCAAAGGCTTGGATTCAGTAGTGGGGCATCTGAAGGCCCTCAGTGTTAGGCAATTAATGGTAGTTTCAGGCAACTGAGTTTTTTTGCAGGCAACTGAGTTCATTCTTGTTTTTTAGTAGTGAGTCTACATCTTCCCACCCCTAGGTCCACAGCCTGCTAAAAAGCCCTAGGCAATCGTTAGAAGCAATTTTATGTGATTGATTAGTTGGTTGGTTGGTTGGTTGACATATTCATCTGTGTTTCATTACTGTAATGACATACTTAGTGCTGGGTAACTATTTTAAAGGGGGATATTTATTTAGCTCAAAGTTCTGAGGGCCTGCATCTGCTGATGTCCTCACTGGCATCCCCAAGTTGGTACAGGGATTCACATGGTGTAGATGAAGTATGCCTGTGTGTCTGTTGCCAGCTGGCCAGGCTGACAAGATGTGCTGGGTTCAAGGAGCTGGCTGTATCAATAACTAAGGAAACCATACACACATGAAAATACCTTTTTCTTAATTGCTGGGTCAGAGATGGCTCTGCGACCTCAAAGATCAGCTCCCACGCTGGAAAGAGGGCAAGGGGAGCAAGAGAGGCAAGGAAGAGAGCAAGCACACCCTGAACCCCTCTATTTATTGGGGAAAGGACATTTGATAGAAAGTTCACTCAAATAAGGCAAGGGATTGGGTATCAAAGGGTGGAGTCTTGGTTGGTGATGTCTTGTGGTCAGCAGATTGACTGACAACTTGGCAAGTCACACCCATCTCAGATGCTGTGTGGGATCACAGGCAGAGGGAGAGAAAAAGCACACTGTGTCGCGCAGCCCAATAAACAAGCAACACCAGACCAGTCCCCTCATATGCTCAGATGCACATGCTCAAGCACAGCCCATGGATGGCTTGCGACATGTGTCTGTGTTCTGGCCTCTCACCCTTTTCCTATGAAGTCAAAAGAACTCAATTGTGCAGGCTTTACCGACCCTGATGACCTCATTTAATCCTAAACCACCCTCCAAAAGCCCCACCTCTAAAACATCAGTGTCAGATTAAGTTTACATTCTCTTAATAATTTATAAAGTAGTTTAAAGTTCAATGTAAGAATCCTTCAGGTACAACCTCAGACTCTATCCCAATAATAGCATATGTAATTGGATGGATATGTTGGTTGATTCGTTGTGTGTTTGTCATCCTTCTCTCAAGCAGGACAGCCTATCCTTAGGTTCTGGAATGAGGCCATCTCGCTTTCAAGGTGACGCCTCTCTCACATCTGTTTCCAGTCTGTTAGCTTTGTTGCTTTGTAATATCTTTCCATGGTATTCCATTTTTATAACTTGTATATCTATTATGACCATGTATTTGAGAACTGTGCTCAACATGAACATCTAGACATGAAGGACCTAGGGACTGAAGTCTGTGTGTATTACGTGTTCATTTTAAACATTCATTATTAATAAAATATAAATGAAAGTTTGCTCCTCCCAGTTTCTGATTACCAGTTTGTTCCTCGGCTGGTAACTATGCAATTTGAACACAGACCACTCCATTAACGTGTTGTCAAGGCCCTTGAAATTGACAAGTGACTATCTTTGACTCTGCCAAATGCAAACACTAAGAATGTTAACACCAGCCCCTCACCCCACCCAACAAGTGACACTGTGCGCTCCAGCCCCTCACCCTATCAGCAGCTGCAATGTGAACCCTTTTTCCTTTCCCTCACCCAACCACTGGCACTGCTGTACTGGCTCCTGTGTACTACTGGAAACAGGTGTAACTACTACTCAGCCAATTAGGCCTCTGAAGGCAGCATGCCCACATTTGGGCTTGCCACCTTGCCTCATATTCCAAGTCATTTAATAAGCCAGTAATGTTGAATTTTGGCCAGAACTACTGAAGAAGGGCAGCCTACAGAGCCAGCCCTTCTGTAATGAAGGCCATGTGACCAAGTGCACTCCATGGGGCCTGAAGCTTGTGGCAGATGGGAATAATGTCAATTTTTGGATGAATAGCAGAACAGACCTTTCAGAGTTGGAGCAAAATTGTGAAATCTTTAACAAAAAATTAGTTTTCTTTTTCTTTTGTGGTGCTGGGATTTGAACCTGGGAACTTCACCACTAAGCTACATCACCCCAAGCCTAAAATATATATATATATATATATATATATATATATATATATATATATATA